TGACCTGCTGGTCACACTTCTTTTGATACAGCCCAGGATACAGTTGGCTTTCTGGGCTGCAAGTGCACACTACCTGCTCATGTTGAGCTTCTTATCAACCAACACCCCCAAGTCCTTCTCCACAGGGCTGCTTTGAATCTCTTCTCTGCCCAGCCTGTAGCTGTGTCTGGGGTTGTGCCGACCCAGGTGTAGGAACTAAGCCCCTCCCCAGCTTTCTTGCAGGCACCCTTTGGGTATTGGAAGGCTGGTATAAGGTCCCCATGGAGCCTTCGCCAGGCTGAAAGAGCCCAGCTATCTCAGCCTGTCTTCATGGGAGAGATGCTCCAGCCCTCTGATTGTCTTCATGGCCCTCTTTGGCTTCTAACAACTCCAAGTCTTTGGACTTACTCAAGCAGGTCCATGTCCTTATGCTAAGGGCCCTAGAGCTAAATGCAGTGTTCCAGGTGGGGTCTCACAAGAGTGGAGTAGAAGGGCAAGAATCACCTCCCTCAACCTGCTAGTTTTGGTGCATCATGGAATACAGTTGGCTTTCTGGGTTGCAAGACAACATTGCTTGGGTCATCCTGAGCTTCTCATCAATCAACACCCCCAGGTCCTTCTCCTCAGGGCTGGTGTCTGTCCAGCCTCCTCCCACCCTGTGCTTGTGCTTGGGTTTGCCCTGATCCAGGTGCAGGACCTTGCACTTGGGTTGTTGAACTACACATTTGCACTAGCCCACCTCTCAAGTCTGTGAAGGTCCCTCTGGATGGCATTTCTTCCCACCAGCATGTTGACCACACCACAAAGGTGGGTGTCCTCAGCAAACTTGCTGGGGTGCACTCGATCCACTATCCATATCTCCAAGAAAGATTTTGAACAGCATTGGTCCCAGTACTGACCCCTAAGGAACATCACTTGTCACTGGTCTTCTCTTAGGCATTGAGCCATTGACCACAACTCTTTGAGTGCGACCATCCAGCCAATTCCTTATCCACAGTGTGGTCCACTCATCAGATCCATGCCTGTCCAGTTTGGAGAAAAAGATGTCATGCATTACAGTGTCAATTGCTTTGCACAAGTGCATGTGGGTGATGTCAATTGCACCCCTTATCCACAAATTCTGTAACCCTGTCACAGAAGGCAACCAAATTTGTCAGCTTGGTATTGTCAGATAAAGCCCACTGTCCGTGTCTCTGACAAAGATGGTAGACAGTTAAAGTCTGTGTTGCTACATTCCTGTATCAAGCAAAGGTCCATTTGTACATTCTTCCATTAGTAGCACTTTTTGTTGCAATAAAAGACAGAGCTGGGATAATTTGTGACATTTAGTAATTAAGGCTACACTGATATTTTCACCATTTTGTTATTAAAGTGCTATTTTCACCTTCCATAAGGGGTCTTGGGCTAAGTCTAGATTAAATAGGTTTACCTATTACCTAAATAAGGATTACTGGAAATGATTACATCTAAGTTTATATATCTTACATATTTATAATTTCGTATGGCCCACAGGCCATCATTGTTAATGGCAACTTTGGGTGTTTCTAATAAAAACCATTTTGAACAGAAATTATGAACCATGTTACAAAACAAGATCTGGGAAATATACTGCCTCCTCTTCTAACTCTTTTTGCTTGAACATTTAGCCAGTAAAATGCCTGCAAAGGAGTGATGGTTTCCCAGTCTTTAAAAATTTCTTTAAGTAAGCTAAAGTGTTAACATGCCTTTTGTAAAAAGAAATTCAGAATACTGTACTATGTGACATAGAAAAAAATGAATTTTCACCTCAACTTAGTATAGATGATCTATTACTTTATCTTGATCGCCCAGGCTTATACAAACTATTTACATTTTACATAATACCTACCTTAACCCAGAAGATTGAAGAAGTGTTTTCTTCAGACTTAGTTGTATGTTGTTGAGGTTAGATGTGTTTTATTACTGTGCACCTGAGGTGCCTCCCTGGGATCCATATATCCACCATTTTTTCTATAGCACCTTTGGTAGTAATGTAACAGCTTTGGTAAATCAATATTTCTGTCATTGCAGCAAATCCAGAAATACTGCCTTGGCTATGATGGTAGAAAACCCTCTTACGTTTTCCTAAAGAATCTCCTACTCATAAGCAAAATATTATCTGAAATAGTCCATCATGTCACTGGTTGGGGGCAATAAGTATCTGCCAAACATTTGAACAATATAAGTCAAAACCAAAATGTGTTTGAAATTAGCTTTCTACTCTGAGTAAAAAAAAATAGAGTTTAATGCTTTCTGTCACATACATATAAGGTGGTAAGAATCTCCTCCCTCGACCTGCTGGCAACATTTTTTTTTTTTTGCATAGTCCAGGATACAATTTGCTTTCGGAGTTGCAATCAAGCATTGCCAGCTCATACCCATTTTTTCATCCACCAATATCCCAAAGTCGTTTGCAGGGCTGCTCTCAATCCGTTCATCCCCAGTCTGTACTGATATTGGTGCTTGCCTCAGTGCAGGTGCAGGACCCTGCACTTGTCCTTGTTGAAGTTCATCAGGTTTGCACTGGCCCAGCTCTCAAGCCTGTGAAGATCCCTGTGGATGGCATCCCCTCCCTCTACTGAATCAACAGCATCACTCAGCTTAGTGTCATTCACAGACTTGCTGAGAATGTACTCAGTCCTACTGTATAAGTAATTAATAAAGACATTGAACAGTAATGGTCCGAGAGTGGATCATTGAAGAACAACTTGTTACTGATCTCCATTTAGACATTGAGCTGCTGCATGCAACAATTTGGATAAGGCAACCCAGCTAATTTTTTATCCATGAAATAGATGGTTGTGGGTTTCAATTCTGATGGCATTATTTAGCACAGGTGAAAGAATAAAAGGCATACAGTGATAATCGTTTTCATAATGATTGTAACCAAATGCTAAGTAGCTTTTGGTTACCATCATTAATGTATTAAATAATGAAATTAAAAATCATGTTTGTAGACTTTAAAAAAAAAAATTACAATTATTTTTACTACTGATTTTTTGGAAGAGTCTTAGTGTAGCTGAACTGTTTTCTCACTAGGAAAAAAGCTAAGTACCTCTAACACAAACAGAAATATATATCACTTTTGAAGTGTCGTTTTTCTTTGCAGAACTTACAGTTGAGAAAAGAACTGATATGAGGTATGCACAGATAATAGAAAAGAGAATAGTTGTTTAGGCATAACTTTAAAGCAATAGTAGCTGAAATATAAACTTCTAGAAGAAAATTTTTAAAATATTTCAACCCATCGCTAACTGGTGATAAAACTGAATCAGGAATTTATAATGTTTTGAAGTGTAGTAGTTTTTGGAGTCATGCTTACATGAGAGTAATACTACAATGACAAATATAGAATTAAAGGTTTTATTATTTTTGTTATGAGACCCCATATCAAAACTTGCACCAATTTACTTAAAAATGTTTCTGATGCAAAGCATTGAAAAATACATTTTTAGGCAAATATCAGTCTCTTTTGATCAGGACTAATGTCATTTCTTCTAAAGAAAAAACACTGTGATAAAAAAATTCAGATATGGGAATTTCTTCAGTTAAACAATGGCCTTGCATGTTCATAGTATTGTGAAGCATGGAGTTACAATGACCTGTGCGGGTACTTGGCCCAATTTGGTTCTGTTTATGGGGTCTGTCCTGAGGAAAACATATATTATACATATCTCCCTTTCAAAGGATAGATGCTATTGAAAAGCTACTGTTTCTTTTCTAAATCTGACTGCTTTAGGTCCTGCTTCAGGTCCTGCTTCCTGTGAAGTCATATTTAGAGATGGAAGGAGATTTTGTGAAGGCAGTGGAAAAAAGTAATGAGTGTTTGCTGCAGTGAAGAGGTCTAAATAGAAGGAGGAGTAGCAAAATATGAAAATATGTATTTCCTGTACTTTGAAATGTTGTTTGAGAAAAACCCAAAAATTTTAAGGCAGGCCAGAAAGCTGTGGATTTTCTAATAATTATTTTCAGTTGGAGCTCTTACTTGTTTGAGCTCTTCTTCAGTTGTACATACCTCAGGTTTTTTTGTTGAAAGAAAATCTGAGAGTTAGCTGCTGAACTAGTTTTGAATTCCCAGAAAAAAAAAAAAAAAAAAAAAATCAGAACTTTTGAGAACCTAAGTCTTCCAATGACAAGAGTTCTGAATTTGTGTTATGCAACATTGTGACAAAATAGTCAGGGAGCTCAGCTGTGTTGGGACTCACCAGAATACGTGACTGTTGAGAGGGAAAAGAGAAGCAGCACACTCAGCCACAAAGTTCACAGAATACAAACCAAATGGCTCCTTATGTTTTTGTTTTCCTTCTGAGAAAGTACTTTCTCTCAAAGCACCGTACACTGTAAGAAGGCTGTAGAAACCCCTCTTTTTACAGAAGCCCACTGAGGAATTAGTTTATTACTGCTGAGTAAAGCCACATTTGCCCAGGACAAAGCTTCCTAGCCTTCCTGAGGGTGAGGGTGGGGAGCTGTTGGTGACCTTTTCTTCAGTGGGAGTTGTTAACCTTTCCATACTGAGGTAAAGACCGGCTTTCAGCATGATTTACTTAGGTCTGATTTGTACACAATGTTTCACCAGCTAAGGAGAATGTGTGTTTATAAACCAATTCACTTAAAGGAAGACATCACACTGATTATGAACATCTCCAACAATGGAAATATTGGTTATTTCAGTAATAAATAAAACCAAATTTTCACTTGACCCTTAATAAGAAGGCCTAAGTCAAACTAGTAAAGTAATTTGGACCCGCATATGAAATGGAATACTGTATATTCAAACTATTCTATTCTATTTTATTTGTTATGAATTTTTCTTTTTTTATATTGATTCATTTATTGTTAGTACCTCCAGCTAGTAATTTAATAGTGAATGACAAATATTCATTTTTGTTTGGTTTTTTTTTTATACAATCAGATTAGTAGAATCATGGAATCATCTTGAGCTGGAAGGGGCCCATAACGATCATCAGGTCCAACTCCTTGCTCCTCACAAGACTACCTAACACTAAACTATGTGACTAAGAGTGTCATTCAGACGCCCGTTGAACTCTGACAGGCTTGGTGCTGTGACCACTTCCCTGGGAAGTATGTTCCAGGGATGGACCACTCTTTCAGTAAAGAAACTTTTCCTAATGTCCAATTTGAACTTCCCCTGATACAGCTTCCTACCATTTTCATGTCCTATTGCTGGTCACCAATGAGAGGAGATCAGAAACTCCAAAGGTGCTGCCCACCTTGAGGAAGTTGTAGACTGCCATAAGATCACACCCCAGCCTTCTTCTTTCCAAGTGACCTCAACTACTCCTCCCAAGCCTTGCCATCGAGACTTTTCACCACCTTGGTTGCCCTCCTCTGGACACACTCTAATAGTTTTATGTCCTTATATTGAGGCATCCACAACTGCACATGATACTTAAGGTGAGGGCACATCAGCGCAGTATAGAGTGAGACAATCTCTTCCCTCAACCAGCTAGCAATGCTGTCCTTGATGCTTCCTAGGACATGGCTGAACCTTTTAGCTGTCAGGGCACATGTCGACCCATATTCAATTTGCCATCAACCCAAACCCCCAGATCTCTTTCTGTGGGGCTGCTTTTCTGCCTCTCATTCCCCAGTTTGTACATATAATTAGGATTAACCTGCTCCTGGTGGAGAACCCTGCATTTGCTCTTGTTAAATTTCATACAGCTACTGATTGCTCTCCTCTCTAGTCTATCCAGATCTCCTTGTAAGGCCTTTCCACCCTCGAGGGAGTCCACAGTTCCTCCTCAATTAGTACGACCAGCGAAATTACTTAATGTACTTTTGGCTTATGCATCCAGATCATAAAGATATTGAAGAGAACTGGTCCTGTAACTGAGCCCTGGATACCCACTGGTGACTGGCCACCAGCTTGCTGCAACCCCATTTGATATAAGTCCTTGAGCCCAACTCCTCAGCCAATAGTTTGTGCAACAAGCAGAGAAGAGTTGGGGAAAATGCCTCTGGGGAAAATTTTGCAACATTCTTCCAAATCACATTAGCCCAATTCTCACTCTTAACCTAATTGTATTGAGAAGTGAATTGTATATTGGTATTTAAAATTGTTTTGGTAGCCACTGCAAAGACCACAAATTCATTCATGGGTTCTAGGATAAATTAGAGGTGGAAATTAATGAGGTTAAATTCCCATTTTATTTGCACAAAACTTGAAATCATACTTCCCTTAAGAGTCCGCTTTGAATAATTAGTAATTCCAGAGTTTTTTGCTTAAATTAGAACTGTCATAGTGTCATAGTAAATAAACTGTTTTCCATTTCCATAGTAGAGCATTAGTGAGCATTAACTGGTGAATAAATAGAAAGCTCTGACAGAGTACATACATTCAGAAAGGCAGCTCAAGAGAATAAGTGATGGGCTTTTTTTTTCATTGTTGGGGTTGGGGTTTTGTGTCTTTTTTTGGTTGGTTGGTTGGTTGGTTTTGGTTTGGGTTTTGTTTTCTTTTCCTTAGTGGGAAAGATAATGGTATCGTTTGTAAAATGTATGATAATCTGCAACAACATTCGTTTTTAGAATTTCACAGAAAATATCTTGACGGAGTTCCATGATCTGAGGCCTTAAGAGAGTTTTTGGTTTTATTTTGACAGACTTGATGGTGATGGGATGAAGTAGATACATTAATGTGTGGAAAGATTATGATACAATAATGTACATATTTATGAGAAGAAATCTAATGAAATACGTATTTTTCATGAATGCATGCTTCATCCTTATCTTTTTGCAGGGTGAAAAAGCATTTCCTTTTAGTTTAAATATATTAGTTGCATTTGAATCCTTTTACTTTGAATCCAATTACCTTTTTTGCTATAGTAAGTTAAAAGCATTTCTCTCAGCAGACTAACAACTGTCATCTGTTAAGAAAAGGCTGAATGTATCTGACTGTCTTTTCATTAAAGACAGACAAGAAAGGGATTCAGTGAAACTACATATGTTGCAGTAATTCAAATATACTCAGAGGAACACAGGTTAATTATTCATTTATTCTTTTGTCATTTTATTTTGTACATTTGCACTATGATTAATTGTGTTCTGTTCCTTTTGATTAACAGAAAACAGTGATGTAGATGAGGAGACAATGAAGGCAAACTCTCAGGGGTTTATTGGATGTCTCTCTTCAGTGCAGTTCAACCACATAGCTCCTTTGAAGGCTGCACTGCACCACAGCAGCTCAGCCCCCATCATTGTAAAGGGACGCCTCACAGAATCCAACTGTGGTACTTTAACTGCAGCTGACTCAACATCAAGTGAAACAACCCATTCATTTGCAGGTAGTGTATGGTTATCACTTGTTCTGATCTCTGTAGAGTACTCATGACCTGAATAACAGCTGGTTTTTTTCTTTTTTTTCTTCCATGTAAGTTAACATCTCAGGAGCAGTTTCAAAAATAATTCTTTTGTATATGTACTTACTTCTTTTTCTTTAGGTTTTCTCTATTCCTCTGAATGTTTTCATTTTTCTCTTTATCTCTGCAAAGAGATGCATCACTGCTCTTTCCATGCTTATTGACTCACACCACTGCCACTGTACCATAATGTACATGATCTGTAACCATGTAAGAATTATTTGAAAACCCTTCTTCTTTTTGTCTGTCACTTTCCTTTTTTTTTTTTTCTGCAGATCACTCTGGACCAATAGACAAGGGAGAGCCCTTAGCTAATGCAATTAGAAGTGACTCTGCAATTATTGGAGGTAATATGGACTATAATAACTCCATGGGAACCTTTTTTTTCTAATAACTGTAGGTTTTTCAGTGCTGAAGTCAACTCAAATTAGCTTTATGAGCATAAGAATACTAGTAAAAAAGCTTAATTTTACTACAAGTGGTAGAGAAAAATCAAGCATTGTTTTTAAATGCAACCAGTAGCTGTCATATTTTCTTATTACATAAATTTAAGCGATCAGTGTTTCTATACATGGGAACATTCCTCTGAAACAGAAGATACTAAAACCAGGCTTCTAACCTGCCTAATGGTAGTGCCTATGACTTTAAAAAGTACTTGGATATATTATGAAAAATAGCATATGTTTAAGAAAGAACAGTCTTTGATCCTTGACTATGCAAAAAGAAAAATACATTTTTCTACTTGAAGTGAACAGTAAAGTACAAAACCTTTTTTTAACAGATCTGAGAAACACAGATTTTTCTTGAGAAAGTGGGCTCTGACACTGTTTGAATCAATTTTTTGGCAGACTGAGGCAAATTCCATTCTGGTTCATCATTTGGAAAGAAATGTACTCTTGGGTAGACCATCACTTGCTTAATAACAGCTTAAAAATAAAATGCTTAAAGATAATAATAAAAAGAATAAGAAATGATTGCTAATGATTTGAAATAATCTAGTTTCTTACTATTTCTCTTAGCCACTTTTATCGGCTCAAGTAGAATTATAACTGATCATCCTCAAAATTATTTCAGAACATTTATTTTTAACAGAGGAATAATGGAAGAACCATGTACAGTTCAATTGTTCTTAAGATATATATGTTGAAAGTCCCTTTATTTTTTTGTGCCTATCAGAACAAATATGGTATACAGTTTAGGACAGAGTTCTTGTGATTAAAGTACAGGACTGATAATCAGGATATGCTTGTTCCATTACTGTGTCTTTCTGACTGATTATCCTTACGCCAAGATCTCTCCCTGTTGTAGTGGGGAAGGCTAGAAGTTCTGTTTCTTCAATAGAAACGAAGTGTAATCCAAGTGAGCCTTATTTGGGAGAGTTTGGAATTGGGACCCTCAGGAGAATTTCGATTCTTGCCACTGGTACTGGAGCAAGTGTATGGCTATGTTAGCTCAGTTTTTATCTTTCAAGGAATACTATTGTCTCTTGTGACACTCTTCCCTTCTGAGAATTCATGGTGGTATTTTGTCTCTTGGGATGAGGTGATGGAAGGAAACTTGTTTTCATCCATTTTTGCAGTATAATTCACTGTTTCAATTTCCATTAGTTACTTCAACAGAAGGAAGGAAGTGGGAGGGAAAGGTCATACTCTCCGTCTTTTAAATACCAAATAGGTTTCCTTTCTAAGTGTTTTAAAAGCTTCAGCAGAAAAATGACATAGTGAGATTTAGCAGAATAAAGCTATCAGGGCTTCTCACTGAAGATAAAAGCAATTAGTTCTTTGGAAGGTGAAGTTAAGGACCTGCATTCACTTGTGTGTCTGCAGTTTAAATAATGATAGCTGTTACGGTCAGTGCCTGCCAACAGCCCACTGCATGGTCAGAGACCTTTAACAAAGTAGTGCTAAAGATACTAAAATAAGGGGTAATAAAATCAGAAGCTTCTTTGCTTGCAAAGTGACACTAATCCTGTATTATACACACAAACTTTGAGAATTTTACCACTGAGTTCAGTGGGGTCAGAATTTAAAAATATGGATTCTGAGTTCCACATGTATAACTGTCAAAACTTGTTTTATTGTTGCAAAAGATAAGTATTTTGCATTAGTATTTGTACATAAAGATCACTTATGTAAAAGACCACTTCAAGTAGTAGGTAATTTACTGTGGGTGGAGAGTTTTAAGTGTACTAACAACAAAGGCATTTTTTAACTTCTAGCTACAATAGTTAAGGTCTTTTTAAGATAATAATAACCTCACAATTTTATTGTTATTAAACACATTTGGGAATACACACTCACAATTTTTCTACTGCTTAAGTATAGTTGTTTAAAAGTCAAAATGAAGCAAGCTTACACTGTACGACACAGTAAAAGTTTAATGTAAGTACCCTTATATGAGTATAACTGAGAATTGTACCAATTCAGCTACCTCAAACAGGAAAGTTTATAGAAAAGCCCCTACAGGATGTAAGTGCTGTGACTGTGAAACAAAGGAATGACTGTTCTATTTAATCTACACAGGAAAATATTTACTCAGATCATAGAGTGTGTTCCAGAGAAGAAGACAGTACATAAAAAATGTTATATTCTTACCATTAAGAATGATTGGTCATATTAGAGAACAACCAAAAATGACTTGCCAAATTTTGGGTGGTCTGTTTTTATTTACAGCACTAAGGGATTATTTTTTTTATTTTTCTTGTATTAATGGCTGAGTTATACAGCAGATTGTTCCTTCACCTAGTACAGTTGAGCCACTGCATTACGACAGTTTCTCAGATTGTTTAGTGCTTTTTTACCTCCCTGCAGCTTAGTCTTGCTTTCTGTGTCTTTGACAAGCAGTTTCTGCTTTCCTTCTGGTTTATTTGTCAACCTCTGACTCATGAACTTGAGGGTGAATGAGGAAGTGAGGGGATGGGCTGGAAGTCCATAAGGTCATGTTTATCACTGTGGGAAGTATTACTTTTCTTACTGTCCCTAAATTGCTCTGCTAAGAGAAGCATGCCCTGGTAACAGTTCAATAAATCTTAACTAGTGACCTATAAAACTAAACTCCTGTTCCATTTACTGTCTTATGTGTTAAGAATGTGGCACACATGGTGCCTGTTGAATCCCTTATGTAAAGCTTATTCTCTTGCTCCTTGACTTTCTTACTGATCATCTGAAATACCATAATGCAGATGATGTACTGGTGATGATTTTACCCTACCAGATGGGGCTCTTAAAGCTGTTGGAAAAGGAAGCTTACTCACTGCCATCTGTGTAGGCAGGGACCTTGTTTGCTTATGAACCCAAGGTCATGTAGCCATACAAAGCAGTAAAACACCTAGAATGTCAAAACAAGTGCAACAAAGCTGAAAGAAAGGGAAGGAGTTGAGCCTATATCATTTCACCCTGAACACAAAGTGAGTCTTAATTTTAGTACTTTAACCACTGTCTATTCATTACAATGATGCAGTTAGAGAAACGCGTGCCTTTGCTAAAGTAGATCACGAAAACCTATTAATCCCATTATGATGCACTAAAAGTAGTTCGGATTTTCTTACTTAAGAACAAACATTAGAATTTCAGTCCTATTTGAACTGATGATAGGTGGTTATAACCACTGGCCAATTTCCACCAGGTTCCCTATGATGTTTTACATCTGTGTCCCCCCAGTTTTATATTCTCTTTTACAAATTCTCCTCATTAACTGTATTGTGCAGTCAAACTGTATTGTTCAGTCAAAACCATTCTGAACTAATTTGTGTGAAGTATTGGATATGAATGGGCCTAATTCTGTGAAACCATTTTTACTGGCAAGGGACTGGGCTTGGACTTTGTGGTGTACTCTGTCAGAGTGAATAGAAGATCTCATTCAGAATTCCAGATGGGTACTTTTGCCCTCATCCTGTTCTGCTCTGTCTCTGCTCTCCAGATTCCTTTCCCAGACATGGAACAGTGATACAAGAAATGATTGGCAGGTGACACCTGATGATAGGACACGTTTTCCCTTCCTTCCTCATGTCATGTGGTGTGAGAAAGAGTCTTGAGCAACATGAGTAACTGAGAAAAGGGAGAGAACTTTGTCTCGTATTCATAGGATATAAGGAAAAGGAGAAAGTCATAGCAGTGCCCTTTTAGTCGCATTGCCTAGCAGTTCTTCAGATCTGCAGATTTCAAAATAATCACCATGAAGCTTATACTACAGTGCTGTTTCTCGTTTGAAAGCAGCTATGCCTTCTTATTTCTCAGGCTCCACTACAATCCCCTTCATTATGTAATGGAGTCATTCCTTCTTTGTCCTTATTTGTTGATCCTTTCTCTTGACTTTTTTCTCTTTTCTTCTCCTAGGTGTGATAGCAGTCGTGATATTCATCTTCCTTTGCATCACTGCCATAGCCATACGCATTTATAAAAAAAAAGGCATATACTCAAAAAATGAGGAAAAAGGATCTGAAAATGAAGACGGTGCTGAATCTGCACTGAAAAGTGAGCTCAGCATGCAAAATACAACCAATGAAAATCAAAAAGAATACTTCTTCTGATTGGCATTCATAATTTAATTTAATATAATAATGTGACAGTCTGATTTCTTGCTAAGCCAGGGGTTCTCAATGGACAGAAAAAGCTCTTGCATTCTACAGTAAATGCACTGGATTTGAGACTTGTTATACTGCATATGTTCAGTCTCAGTGATTGCTGTAGGGGACCTCTTTAAATTACATGCATTCCTTAGCTAATATACCGTAAATGCATTTTATGTAACAGTGAATTAGATATTGTAACCAATTTCATTGTTGGTAGTTTCTGACTGTTCTGATGTTATCTTCTACAACTGAAGTTTAATGTACACACTGAATATGATTTTTGAATGGGAAAATTGTTATAAAGTTACTCTTATCCTTTTATTTAAAATTTGATTCTGAAATTTTATTCAAGGTGAAAGGTGGATTTGAATACTTTGTGTTACTAAAGAAATCCTGTTGTGTTGCATTATAGTGATCCCTCTTACTTCCTCAAATGGAAAATGCCTTTTGAACTGCTGTTGGCTACTGTCAGCATCTTCTTGGGTATGGTGTCCAAAGCAAACCATACTTCTTTCCCCTGGATGAAACCAATGTCATCACTATCCCTTCTCTTTGACAAGCCTAGCAAGACTTAAAACTGAAATGAGTACAAGGTGTTGAAATGCTGTAAAATTTCTTTTGTAACAGGTTTTCACTTGTGGTCATGTGATGGCACCAAGAGACTCATTCTAGGCATTTTATATAAAATTGGGATCACAGAAAGCAAAACACTTTCCTGGAAAGATCAAATAATATATTAAGCAAAGTTAAATTATCATGATCTTCCAAAAGATGATCAAGATTATTGTCCATGGTAAATAGCAATGTTTCTTCTGTCAAGAAGTGCTTTGTGCACTTAATGTATTCTCTGAAAACGTGGTATCTATTATCTGCTCCAGAAATTAAGTTGTTCCAAATTATATCAATTATTTGATTATGATTATTATGACAATAGAAGTAGGGAATTTAAAGTCTAGTACAGACACTGCTACTTAAATACTTTTGTTCTTCACCTTTTATAGCACCTATTATACCCCTGCGAGATAAGGTTTGATTATACCACTCAAAATTAAGCAGGTGCTTATTATGCTGACAGAGTAAATAAAAGCTGTCTATGATGCTGTATAAACAAATTATCAGATATGAAGAGTAGGTTTAAGTTGTCTAAACAGATGACTGTAAGGTCACTTTAGACACCGCAAGGTATCTGAAATGCCCATGTAGCCTGGTAGGAATGCTACAAGTTCTACAGAAGCTATGTGTCTCTTGGTATGTGACATCTGGGAACTGAGTTGAATACCCTAAGGTGTTGAAGATGGTGCTATATACCAATATTTACATATCTGACACACAGACAAAGGATTTTTGTTTTTTCCCAGACAGAAGACTGTGTGCTTAGAACTTGGATCTGAGAAAATAATCAGGAATTCTGTGCCCTTATAGAATTGAGTTTAAAATTTAAACAGCTTTCAGAATTGATTTATATCTGCTCCCATTGAAAGCGATAGTAACAGTCATCATTTTTCTCCTCTTTCAGTGAGGAGAATCATAGCTAGACCCTAGACTGTGAATATTAGAAAATGTTTATCATAGATGCCCAAGAACATTATAAAAACATGGAAATCTGACATAGTGCGTCAAAATCTTTAATACGTACATTTATTTACATCAACAGTAGTTGTAAATATAAATGTCCAGCAGATATTGTTCTTTAAAGCTTACTTTCTTCCATCAATCTTTATCTTCTATTTTCAGAATTCTGCGTTTCATTTTCTGCTTCCTGCTGTACAGCTTTACTTCATTTTTATGAACGTATTCCCTCTTTTTGGTACCTGGAGGCTCTGCAGTCAGAAATTGTTCAGATTAAGATGCAGTGCTTTCTTATCCTTCTCATTTTTGCAATTCTGTATGCATCTCTGACAGACAAATAAGGCTGAGGACCTAGGATCAAGAACTGTCTAGCCATGTTATATATATATGCTAGTGTATTTACTGATGCAGTTTGGTTCATGACAATAGGTCACCTTTTAGAAAGGACAGAATATGGTGAACGAATGATACTAGGCTCTTCCTGGCAAGTGATATGCATGAGAATACCCTATTTTGCAGATGGTGAGTGGAGGAGATGAAAGCTTCACACAGGTCATGAGAAGAACAACTTAAGTTGTTAAGTTTGCTCCTTTGGATGCTCTCATTCTAGCTAGTTACTTTAAATTGAAAATTATGAATCTTTCTTTTCAAGAGTCTGACCTAAACTGCTTTGAATTAAAGAGCTGTTCCATGGACTTCTCTGTAACTTAAACTGGCTGCGTCCCTTCCCATGACAGATATGTCAGTGTCCACCTTTTTGTGTCACTTACATCAACAAATCTCTCAGCAGTGATGAGTCCCAGTCAACTCCAATTTTATCAATGTCAGTTGTCACAACCATGGGGGACAAAACTTAAATTAAAATGTTGATTATAATACATTAGATCACCAAAATGAATATTTTGAGTGGCTGATAAAAGACAGACTATTCATACAGGAATATACCCATATACTAACATTTTTTCTTGCCTTTACTTCTGTTTCCTGGTTTATTTGTATTGTGTGTCTTGATGGAGGAAAAAGTGTTGTTTCTTAGTTTGTTTCCTTCCAAATGAATATTTTCTTACCATATTTGTAAAAATTTTTAAGAGCAACAGGAAGGGAAAAGCTGAATAAAACCCCTGTTTCACAAACTAATTAGAAAAGAGGGGGAGGCTTTAAATACCTGTGTAAATTGCACATTATCTCATCAAACACCTTTTTAAGGCATTTTATTATGTGAAGGAGTCTAAGGGGAAAACCAGAAATAAATGGATTTTGTGGAATGCACATCTATCTGCAGATTTGTAGAATAAAATAACTATGTCTCTCTGAAGATGCAAATAACCATTTTCATCCATAGGAAAAGTGATCATATATTTGTCACCTGAATTCAAAATATACAAGTTCATAGTCAACGAAGCAGCATTTTCCATCACTTGCTGCATTTCTGTGGCTGCAAAAAAATGGTGACACTGAAGTGTGCTGAGATATCATACAACATTGTGCTGTCCCTTTTTTGATTCTCTATTCCACTGTGTGACCTTTCACCTCTCTGTTAATAAACACTTTTTAAAATAAAGTGAGGAAAATATTTTTTAAAAATTTGTATTAAAAGGTTTAAAACTGACAACAATATAATGATTTTTTTTAACAGTAAAAATATGTAGAAGTGCACACAATATATTGGTGAGTGTGGTTATTTATAGATACTACTGAGTGCTAATGTAACCAATTTACTATGTATTGACATATTTCCATGGCAAAGATATTTATTCCTTAAGTACATTAGAAAATAAATAACAGCATTTATGCTGGTACATTTTTAAAACTTTGGGTGGGTGCTAGCTAGAAAGGTCTTATAATTGTTTCTATAGTCAATATTTAGTGCATAAATATGATTTAGTTATGTTCTGGGAAAACATTTTTAAGTACATCCACTGTTTAGATGAAGAATAAGCTAACTACACAACTTAACATGAAATGTGATTACAGTCAAAATAAATTTACAGTACCATTATTCATGGCAGTGACGTACAAGGAAGAAAGTGTGTAAATGACAAAAGAGACAGAATTCCTGGGAGGATTTAGCTGTTTAGAGTAGGGCACACAGATTTAGATTTATCTCCTGGAACCCTGCTGCACCAATGTCAGATAAAATCAGAAGATGCAACTATTGCAAGTCAGTAAAGGACTGATAGGAAAATACTTTATGAAATAAAATTAATTACTTTGAGAAATAATTGTAACTGTTTACCTTCAAGGCAGAGTTGTAGCTATATAAATCGTGGCATGTCACAGGGGAAGAGTGTTCTTTGTAATGAAAATATATTTGCTAAATCAGAAAACTTACTGCTGAAAAAGCATGTGCCCTCTGGGGTGCATGCTCTGGAGTGAGCATGCAGAAATGCCACATAATTTAATCAAATCAAGCTCCTAATTCTACAGCCAAAAGTATAATGAATCCACAGTGTTTCTGAACAATTAATGAGATTGTGTATTATCAAGAAGGAATAAAAATGAAAATCCTATAGAAATCAGAGCTGAATAAAAAGGTGCAGTAATGAGGGTGCTGAAGTATTTTCAGTGTTTTTTTTTTAAAGTACACACCAGAAGATGCCTAAAAGAATAAGGAAAAGAAAGGAACTTCCCTTTAAATTTATTCTTTTTAGAAACTTATCTTGGGGCTTTTTGGTGGTGGTGGAAAGGAAAGGTTTAATATTTTTTTTTTTACAGAAAGTGATAAAGCTATCATTATGAGAAACCATAATAAAAATCCAGAGGTGCTTACAGACTCTGGTCTCCTAAGAAGCCATACTCATCATCATCCTTGAAGAACTGTCTGAGAAGTAATTTTTGACAAGAAGTGGCATTGTTCTTTGAATATGTTGTTTAAACCTCTTAATCTGTGCTGTTACCATTGTTAAGAAAGGAATCAAACACCACAACTGCATTGCTGGGAGGTGGATTCCTTTCCTTCAAACTCTGACATTTAATTTCATAGGACTTCCTAACTTCCAGCTATGATGGAATTCTGATTTTGTTAACATATTATATAAATAGCACTGAATAAATAATAAATAAAGTCCTTACTAAACACCGTGGTAAATCCACAGTAAAAATCCCCATAAGCATGTGAGCAAATGTGCATGTGCGTACACACATATGCATGTAAACGCCCTGTGAAGTCAGAGGCAGACTCCTGTGACTTTACCGTTTCCTTTGCTTTATGTCAAGTACTTGAAAAACATCTATAGTTCAGAAACACCACCTTCCCTAGTTTTGGAAAAATATCCAACCCTTTTCACAAAATATTCAGATTTTTCACAGGGTTTTTTCAAGTGAAAAAAAAAAAAAAGTTTACAGCTTGTAGTTTCTTCCAGAAAAGTAAGAGATAGACAAGCAGGCTG